TAGTATTTGCCATCAAATCTAGAGAGAAGGAATCAGAGAATGTCTTTCTAGAGTGTGATGCTTTGTACAGCTGGAACTTTGCTGTTTTGGAGTGAGGGAGAATTTCAAATGGGAGGGGAGCTCTCATGGCTTTGATATCACTTAATGAGATCAACATTATAAGAGAAAAGAATAGGCCGGGCGTTGGTGGTGCATGCCTTTAATCCCAGCACTCGGGAGGCAGAGGCAGGTGGATCTCTGTGAGTTCGAGGCCAGCCTGGTCTCCAGAGCAAGTGCCAGGATAGGCTCAAAAGCTACACAGAGAAACCCTGTCTCAAAAAAATAAAATAAAATAAAATAAGTAAAAAGAATAGAATACATGTATAGGAAAATTTAAAAGCAGGGAAAAGTGAAAACAGGGATACCTGGGAAAGATTAGAAGGAAAGACAGATGACAAAAAGAATGTAATTGAGGAGGGATAAGCATGTCCCACAAATGGCTATTGCTTCAGGAGGATACTGGTAAGTGATCAAGGTGAGAATTAAGACCACTGTAACCACCATTGAAATGCATGTAGGCTGGGGCTCCTAGTGTTGCTTTGTAGTTCAGTACTTGCCTAGCATGCAAGAGGCCCTGGATTTCATTTCTTAGGCAAAACCTAAAGATGTCTTGCTGATTAGCAGACTCAACCAGTTAGCTAAGCTATCGCCACTTGGGTTGAAACAAGCCCTCCTCTTACAACATCTATCACCCAGTCATTGCAGAAACAAGAGTATGCTACTATAGCTTAGATGAGTGTCTGCCAACAATCCATGTGTTTATAGCCTGGTCCTCAAGCTGGTGTTTTAAAAGGTTGGCGCTGCAGCTGGGGAGATGGCTCAGATTGCTGTACAGGAATAAGAACTGAGTTTGGATCCTCAACACGCAAATAAAATTTGAGGGCAACAGTGTGCTTCTGTAACTCCAGTACAGGGAAGAAACAGAGACAGATCCCATGGGCTTTCTGAGCAGCCATCACCAATGTGATGAGCTCCACCTTCAGTGAAGAGATCTTGTCTCAAAAAACAAGGTTGGCCTGTGTGGTGGCTTGAAGAAAATGGCCCCTAAAGAGAGTAGCATTATTATTAAGAGGTGTGGCTTTGTTAGAGTAGGTGTGACCTTGTTGGAGGAAGTATGTCACTGTAGGGATGGGATTTAATATCTCCTTTACTCAAGCTTCACTCCCTGTGATACTCAGACCACTTCCTTTTGCCTGTGCAAGATGTAGAACTCTCAGCTACTTCTCTAGCACCATGTCTGTCGAATGCTGCCATGTCCCACCTTGATGATAATGGACTGAACCTCTGAACTGTAAGCCACCCAACTAAATGTTTTCCTTCATAAGAGTTGCCATGGTTATGGTGTCTCTTCATAGCAATAGAAACCCTAACTGAGACAGCCTAGAGAAATGGCTACATAGTTAAGAGCACATTGTGTTCTTTCAGAAGACCCAAATTCAATTGCAACCATACTTGTTGGGCTGTTCACAAGCACCTGTAACTCTAGATCCAGACACAACACCCTCTTCCTGACTCTATGAGCACCACATTCATGCACACAGTTTAAAAGAAAATATTTTTAAGAGGAGAACATTAAGATAATTAATAAGTTGGATAGTGATTGAGAAAGATACCTAAAATCAACCTTTGCCTCCACCTGTGCACATGGATGCATGCACCTATATGTATCATGGGGAAAGAAGTCTTTGGGGGCACTGAGAGCATTACCTTGAAGGGGATTTTGGGATCCCAGTCTCAGTAACAGTCTTTCTCTGCATCCTAGCTTGTGGTAAAAAGTAGCTTTTCTCTGCCATGCATTCCTGCAGCCCTCACCATAGAACCAAAGCACGGAGCCATCTGATCTTGGGCTGTGACCTTCAGAAGAACCAGCCAAAATAAGTCCTTTCTTCTTGCAAGTTGGTTGTCTCTGACAATCCATTGTAGTAATGTTAAATGGACTAAGATAATGCAGCATGCAGGCAGAGGTTATCCTCTAAATATCTCAAGTGATAATGTGGGCAAGCCTTTCCTGCCCAGTCACATTCAAAGACAAAATGAGTATGACTAAACCCTTTGTGAGATGGTGTAGATGGAGGGTAGTGGTGTGGATCCTATAACATTGTGTCAAGGGTGAAGTAGAAATGGGGTTTAGGGCCAGTCTCTAGACATGGGCGTGGCTGGATACTTATTCAAGTCAGCAAGTTCCCTAATGTCTTGATAACTATTTTCAAACCTGTACAATAGACATAAAGGCTGGCACAAACTACAGAAAGTCTTCACCAGGAACTGAGTTAATTAATGAGTATAAGGAATGTGGTATCACATCTGTCACATAGAAACTACTCATAATGCAACCTAGTTTCTAGATCAAAGTTGAGCATCATCACTGGTGTTCCAGAATATTTTATGACCCCATATACCCAACATTTAGAAACAAAAGTCTTATCTTACCTGCTGAGTAAAGGACTAATTGCCTCTAAGCTCTTGACCCTTCTCCTATTAGAATTATTCTCTGAAATGTTTCTACACAATGTGATTTAGAAATAATGTACAGGCTTTGGGTCCAGGCAACAACCCCAGTCAACCAGTGGCCTGTCTGCTGTTAAAGTCACTGTCAGGGAGAGAACACTACTTTGCCTAAGAGTCAGTAGCTACTTATTAGGGAAGCCCATCTTCACCTACACATCCCTGGACTGATGCCTACGAAGAGGGCAACAACAGAGCTTCCCATGCTGAGCTACAAGCCTGGGAACTGGACCCTGTTGCTGCATCTATTTTTAGTTATTTTTCTCTTTGTGCCATTAACACAGCTCTTGGGATGATGGCCTTTAACTTCCTTTTCTATTCTCCTGTGGGTCAAAACCTTTAGAAACTGACTCTGGATCTCCCTAGAGTCTAACTCATTCTCCAAACACTGCACTTTAACTTGATATACAAGAAAGGGTGTTCCTTCCTCTTCCTGTACGTCAGCTGACATTCTACCTGCAAGTCAAAATTCAAAAGCTCTCAATAGGCAAATGTGATTAGTCAGCTATTTGTTATGGGCCAGAAGTCATGTTTTGACCCTTGGAAGCTCTACAAATAGAAGCCTTGCACGTTTGGCATCCTTCTTTGTTAGAAATCGACAGTAGGTGGTGTCAGCTAGGAGTGGAGAGTCTAGGGGAACAGAGCAGAGCCAACATGTGTACAAAGATTCACACAGAGATTGTGGATGTGGCACATGCTGGGATATTTCTCAAAAGGAGGCAGTATGACTGTAGGTTACCACTGTCACAGCAATTTGAAGCACATATTGTATTTGACACAAATCACCATGCATGCATGTGTCTGATTTGGGTGGAATTTAACTCTTCAAGTCTCACATGCCTTCCTGCATCTCCCATGCCTCTGAGATAGGAATACTTCTAAATCACTGTCCTACATCTTTGAAATTACCACATGTATCAATCAGGGCTCTCTTGAGAAGCAGACCTGATAGGTACATTAAGATGATGAGAGTAGGCTTTGTTAGGAGGACTTGGCTCACATAACTAAGAAAGTCTGAGAGGCCCTATGATCTTATACCTGCAAGCCAGAGGGTTAGCAGAGTTGGGGAGGTAAGACAATCCAAACCCAAAGATCTAAGAATGCAAGGAGCCTGTGTTATACATAAACCCTAGTCCTAGTCTGAAGACCCAAAGATTTGGGAGGGCAGGGAGGTAATGGTGTAAATTCAAGAACCTAAGAACCATGAGTGTTGATGTGAAACCAAGACAGATGGAAGAAGGGGGTACCTTGACTCAAGCAGAGATAGTAGAGAAGGGCTCAAAAGTACCTGACACTTATGTGAGAGACTGGGGAGAAGACAAGAACACAATGCAACTTGAAGGTTCCTCTTAATGCTCTCCTCCTAAGGTTTTTACTTCTTCCTTCAAGAACTCAGAAGTGGTATTTGGAGCAGCGTGTGCACATAAATGCAGTCAATGTTAATATAAGTGAAGGAAAACAAACATGGAAAAGGAGTTGGCTGCCACTTAGGAGACTTGATTGCATTTCATTTTGAATTCACTTATGCTCATAATGCTGCTACATTAAAGAAATTCACAACAGCTGGGAATGAAAGCCTTGGCATTTTAAAGAATGTTAGGATGCTGTGTTCTCATCCACCATCTCATTTCATTGTGCTCCTCATGACTTCAGATTTTTCATAATTTTATTTTTTATTGAAAAAGTTATTTTCATACAATATATTCTGATCATGGGTTTCCCTCTCTCATCTCTTCCCAGATCTTCTCCTCCCCGACCCTTCCAATATCATGCTGTCTTTCTCCATCTCCCTTAAGAAACCAAACAGGCAAATGAAAAATTAAACAAATAAGCATAAAACAAAACTTACAACCAAAGTAAGAAAGAAAAAAGAGCACAAAAATGCATACACATGTAGAGATACACATATACATCCTAGCCAAACTCATAAAACACAAAATCACAAGCTATAATGTATAAGCACAAGACCATTCAAGTTAAAAATGACCTATCAAAAGCAATATGAGACAAAATAAATACCTTTGAGTTCACTTTGTGTTGGCCATCTATTGCTGGGCATGGATGGACCCACCCTTGCATGTGGTTTGTATACTTAGTGAGACTCCATTGGTGAAAACTAATTGTGTGTGTGTGTGTGAGTGGTTATCAATTGGAGATAGCTTCTTGGTTGGGGAGACCATGTCTACTTTCCCATCTCATCTTGGACCCTGTCTGGTTTGGATTGTGGGGCCCTGTGCATGCTAGGACAGTCTCTGTGAGTTCATATGTGCACCAGGTCAGTGTATCTGGAAGGCCTTGTTTCCTTGGTGTCCTCCATTCCCACTACCTCTCACAATCTTTCTGCCCCATCTTCTGCTTAGTTTCCTGAGCCCTGAAGTGAAGTATTTGATGAAGACATTCCATTTAGGACTGGGTATTGTAAGAAATATTGTCTCTATATTTGTTTCAATCTATAGCAGGAGGAAAGTTCTCTGATGGTTGCTGAGCAAGACACTGATCTGTGAGTATAGCATAATGTTGCTAGTAGTCATTTTATTGCTATCTCCTATAGTATCTGGCTTTACCAGAGGTTCCTGTGCTATCTAGTCTCAGGTTCTTTCCACCTGTGCATTGTCAGTCATGGGTTCCATCTCATGCTGTGGGCTTTAAATCCAACCAGATAGTGGCATGTTACTCCTACAATGTCTGTGCCCCTGCTGTGCCAGTGTCTCTCACAGGCAGGTCATTGCAGGTTACAGAGTTTGTTGCTGGTTGGTATTTCCCTTTCTCCTCTGGTAGTGGGCAGAGTCAGTACCCTGAACAGTATCATGACTTGAAATGTAATGTAACCCTTTAAAAGAATCTGCTAAATATCACTAAATGATTTGGGAAAACACAAAACTAAAACTATTGTACTGTCTGTGGGCAGTAAGGGACAGCAAAAAGCAAAGTTTCCTACAGCCCCTTTCTCTCTTCACCTCTGCAAGGACTCTTTTAAGCATTGAGGGTTTCTATAAAACATAAAGACAGATGGAAATGTTCCCAAATGTTCTTTCCTTTGCTCAAAATGTTTCTTCTCATTTCCCCCCTTTAAATAGGAGTTTACAAACAGAAACAAATAAATCTAACATATATCAAAATAACAAAAATTCATTATTCACTGTAAGTTGATAAGGGAAATCTTGATTCCAGTGGAGCTCATTGGTGTAACTAGATTAGTACATATAAAATAATGTTTTTAAAGATTCATTTTATTGTTATTTATTTGGATGTCTATATATCTTTATGTGTGGGTATCTGTACCATGCATGTGTAGTGCCTGAGGAGACCTGAAGAGGGTGTTGGACTCCCTGGAACTAGAATTACAGGTGTTTGTGAGCCTCTGGAAGTGGGTACTGGGAACAAAACTAGGGTCCTCTATGAGAGAAGAAAGTGCTCTTAACCTCCAAGCCATCTCTCCAGTCCCCTAATTGGTATTTTTTTAGAAGTTAAGATTCCTTTGTTCTGGCATTTGTTCTGACATTTGATCCCTTAGATCAAACTGCCACTCTGCTGGAGCATTGCTGAGACCGCAGGATCCCACCATCAATCTTCCTCCCACTCCATCCTTCTTCCTTAGCAACTTTTGTTGATGGCCTTGGGATCTTGTTTCCCAGGCTGCTTGACCAAGAGCATCCTGTGCATGAAGTCTACCCATGGAAGGATTTATTCTTTTCCCTCAATGACTGAACATTTAGTTGTCATTCTGATCAGTGTTTTGAACTTGGTTTCTGAGAATCTCCTCTATGAGATGAATCTTGGGCTTTGCCTAAGTCATATTTCGAAGCCTGAATGTAGTCCTAAGATGAGATCAAGATAATATATGCTTCTGTGTTGGGCTAACCCACTGTGAACAGCCACTGGGCAGAAAATGCTCAACCCTCCCAGTAGCTTCCCACATGACTGCTTTTTCCTCAGACATTTTTGCTACTGTAGTTTTAGTTTAGTTTACAAACTAAACTGCACTTGCAAGAGAAAATTATGATTACCCAGAATGGTCTCTTCCTAGTCTTTCATGTTAAATTTGAAAGCATTGTTGAGACTAGCTAGCCTCCAAACCTGAGCCTAGGGGATGACTTTAGTCTGCCCCATGAAAGAACAATAGAAGACTCATGCTATATTGGCCACCTGTGCATAGCTGTGACAAAAATACCTGACACGAACACCTTCACCTTAAGGGAGGAAGGATTTGCTCTGATTCATGGTTTCAGAGAGCACAGTCAATGGCTGCCAGGCTCCAAGAGCTTGAACAGAAGACACTGGCAGTGGGAACATGTCAAAAATAAGCTTTGTCACCTCATTGCAGACAGGAAATGGGGGCTGCAGGAAGGAGATGTACTCCCAAGGACCTGCCTCCAGTGACCTACTTCCTGAAGGTATGCCCTGCTTCCTGAAGCTTCCACAACTCCCAAGAAAGAACCACCATCTGTGAACCAAGCATAAGCCGTTGGGGACATCCCAGTCTCAACCTTAGCACATACTGAGGCATGATGGTAACAGGACTTTGGGAACTGGATTCCCAGGACCACACTTCACCCATGTGTCTCCACTGGATTTCTGCTGACAGCTAAACACTAGACAGCAATACTGTTTTCTTCTCCACCAAATGGGATCAGCTCCACACATTCTCTTTCCTCAATTTTTTCCCAAGTTAGGAAAGAGAATAGTCACAAATTCACTGAGAGATATGTGGCAATAATCATATTACAATGAATGAGGAAAGAAGGCAGTGTGGAAACACCGTATTTGGGGTCTTCCATTTCAATGGGAAGAGAATTTCCCCTGTCACTGTGTGAAAAATGCACGGGAAACCAACACAACATCCTTTTCACTTTGCATCTGAAATAACTTTCCAGTCACTTGACTGTACCACACAGGTGTGAGCTATTCAATCCAAAATAGGAACCAAGACCGAACAGTTAATTGGAAAGTTAGGTAATATCCTGAGTGTTCCATGCTTATGTTGACAGCTGAGCAGTGTGGGGAAGAGTCGGGGATATGACTGGCTTCTCACTGGCTTCCCTGCTCTCTCTCTGCTTACCCCCTCTTATCTTTAGCCAGTGAGGGCAAGAACAGGCAAGGAGAATGGATGGAATGTTAAAATAATGAGTGCACAGTCCTAGGGTTAGCTTCAGACTCTCTAGGCCTCTGGCCTGTCATAAAACAAAAAATAAAATAAAATAAAAAACAACAACAACAAAAACCACCTCCCCCTCCCATGGATGTCGGTGGCCTCCTGCGTGTCCATCTGACCACAGTTTCCTAACAGGCTGTGCTCCTCTTTCACTAGCTGCTTTACCCTGATTGTTCCTCAGCATGCAGTGTGGTCTTCTGGTTGTTAGATCTGCATGCCCTGCTGTTGGTAGTATTGAAGTTAAATCCACCTCTCACTCTGTCAGCTACTAAGCAAGGCAACCTCTAGGGGCAAACTGCTATATTAATATACCTTCAAAACATCCTCTCCCCACCCCGCAACAAAATTTTCTGATGAGTTGACCATGCTCAAAAGGCCCTTATTCTCTACATATTCTTGAAGGTGTATTCTGCCATCCTGAGCTAAGCATGCCAAAGGATGTGTCCTTCATTTTTCTTTAGTTAGGATCTTGAGCTGAGTGGGTTCAGAATGTACTATTCAGCTGAGCATGCTCAAGACTGTGACTTCTTGTGTGGTTACATGTAGAGTGCCTTCCCAAAAACCTCCATGCTTGTTTTGTTCAAGAAGGGCATGGCTTTGGAAACAATTATCCTACCATCCTTAGCTGCCACAGGTAAGAAGTTTTCTAGCATTCTCCAGTTCTCTGTTGTGTTTCTAATTTTAGCTTTGTTCTCACAAGGTGTGAGCCCATTATGTAACACAAATAATAAAAACCCAGAGACAGATAATGGGGTTCAAGCTAAAGATCAGAAAGGCAAAGCAGCAAAGCCATTAGAGAGTTCTTACCTCTAGCAAGGCTAAGACCAAAGAGGGGCAATCCTGTCCTCAGAGTGACTGCAATGCTCTCCTCCAAACCTCAGACTGCACTGAGCTCCTGCCTTATATTCCTCTAGTGCAGGGATTGTAGGCTGTCATCCCAACTACTGGTATCAAAGGTGTGAGCTCTGTTTCTCTTTTAGACTGATTGATTCATGTAGTCCAGGGTGGCCTTGAACTCACAGAGATCCATCTGCCTCTGTGTCCCCAGTTCTGAGATTAAAGGTGTGGCCACCACTGCCTGTCCTCTATGGCTAACTAGTGGCTTGGTGTGTGTGTGACTAACTAGTGGCTTAGCTCTTAACTAGGTGTGTGGATAACTAGTGGCTTAGCTCTGCACTCTCATCTTTGGGCAAGCTTTATTTGTTAGATGACAAACAAAATATCACCACCCAATTACATTTAGTCCTGCATTGTGGTATGTATTCAAAGTCAGTAAGCAGGATTAACCACAGTCCCAGTGATCTTGAGTCCTGTTGTTCATATCTCACTTTGGGGTCTATCTCAGCTGAAGCTTGTTACACATTCATTCTCTTTCAGTAGTAAATGTCACAAACATCTATTCATTTTCTTTCAGTAGTAAACGTCACAAACATCTATCAAGAGCAGTTTGTGTGCCAGGCTGTCTGTCTGTTTCCCTCCTTCCTTTGGAAGCAGTCTTGGAGGGTGAAGGTACTGGAAGGATGGGTCTGGGCAACACATCCTGCAAGTGACTTGGAGAATGAGCCTCGGGATCACTGGGAAAGAAGCCATTCGTCCTCCCTGCTCAGTGCTCAGCAGTCATCTCTCAGTAAGTGTATGCTCCTTTAAATGATACATCTGCTCTGGCTTGCTTTGCTCTCACTGTGATGAACGCTGTGACCAAAAGCAATCTGCGGAGAAAAGAGTTTATTTGACAGTTTGTCACTGAGAGAAGTCAAGGTAGAAACTCAAGCTGAGGCAGAGACATGAACCTTGAAGAAAGCTGTTCACTGGCTTTCTCTCAAGTCTGTCAGCTTGCTTCTTAGACATCCCAGGCCCACTTACCCAGACAAGTGTGGCATCTGCCACAAAGGGCTACACTCTCCCACATCAAGAAATCAAGAACAGGACCTTCAAACAAACCTGTAGGCCAATCAGATCTAGACAATACTTCAGCTGAGGTTCTCTCTTCCAGGTGACTAGGTTGTGTCACGTTGATAATAAAACTAGCTGACACAGAACTTCCTTGAGAAAATGGAAACGTTTGTCTCATATATAAAGGTGGCTAAAGTGGTAGCTTTTTTTTTCCTGAGACAGGGTCTCTCTGTGTAGCTCTGGTGAACTCACTCTGTCTAGGCTGGCCTCGAACTCGGGGATCTGCCTGCCTCTGCCTTCTGCCTTCTGGAAGCTAGGATTAAAGGTGCATACCACCACTGCCTGGGTTCCTTTTTCTTTCCCTGCTTAGCTTATGAGATCAGACAAGATCGGGCATGTTCAGGGTGATATGTCTATAGACTGGTAATTATTACTAAACAAGTCAAAACTACTCTTCATATACTTTTTTACTATTTTATGTGTATGACTGTCTGGCTGCATGTATGTCTGTGTACCATGTGCATGCCTAGGCCTGTACAGGCCAGAAATGGGCATCAGATCCCCTGGTTATGAACCATCAATAATGTGGGTGCTGGGAAATGAACCCATGCCCTCTGCAAGAGTAGCCCTCGGTCTAAATGCTGAGGCCCCTCTCTAGGCCCAAACTCTTGCTATTTTTGTACAGAAAAAATTCACCAAAAAGTTTAAAAGGTCAATCCATTGGTTAAGTTCCAGACAAGTGGGTATTCTTTGAAGACTCGGGCCTGATGCTCCTTCCACAGACTTTCAGTGACCTCTCCTGGACTCCTTTTGCATGTAGAGTTTTGAATCATAGCCTCCAGCTTTCATTCTCAGGTTTGGGGGAAAGTAAGTTTCTATCCATGCTGCCAGCAAAATGGAGCTGCTGTCTTTAAGGGTTTTGTTACATGACCCACAGCCTGGTTCTCTGCCCAATCCTAGACTTACCTTAATTCCATGCAGATAATTCAAACAACCTCACATGAGTCTCCAGGGACAGCAACAGGAAGGTCAGACTAAGTTCTTCCCCAACCTGTATTGGCCTTCTCAGGCACATCTATTCTACAAATCAGGGTGTGGTTGTATTATTGAGATGCCCACCCCCATAGTCTTAGGAATTTGGATACTTAGTTCCCTGGTAATGGTGCTGTTTGGTGGGGTTTAGGAGTATGGCCTTGTTGGAGTAAGTACGTCACTAGAGACAATAGCCTCAGACTATTTCTACCCTCCCCACCCCCAATTCCTTGTCAGTTCAGGATGTGACCCCCTCAGCTTCCTGATCCTACCACCATTCCTCACTCTGCCATCTCAGGCCGAATCCCTCAGGGATGATAAGCCCAAATAAGTTCTTCTACAAGTCACCTTCATCACAGCAACAGAAAATAAACTAATATAGGGGGGATATTGTATAGATGGAGTTTCTGTCCCACCAGGTCCCATAGCCCGTTAGTCCCAAATAAATACACTGATGCTTATATTAATTGTAAACTGTTTTGCCAATGGATCGGGCTTCTTCCTGGCCAGCTCTCTCTTAATTATCAACCCATTTCTATTAATCTATGTATTTCCACATGACTTTATCTTACCAGAGAATGCCCAGGCTTCCTACCCTCCCTGCAGCTACATGGCATCTCCCTGGCAGTTACCCTTTTCCTCCCTCTTCCCAGCTCTCTTCTGGTAGTCCCACCTATACTTCCTGCCTGGCTACTGGCCAATTCACATTTTATTAAACTAATAAGAAACATATTCACAGCATACAGAAGGACCTCCCCCATCATCATTGGGCATTTGGTTTTGGTTTGGTTGATTGTTTGAGCCCCATTGTTGAGACTGCAGCTTAGTGACAAGAAATTACAAAAGTAATCCCAGCTACTGTTCTCCTTGGCATCTATCAGAAGACCTGCTTCTCAGTGGGGAGTGCAGCTCAGAGGCAAATACCTGAAGCCTTGGGACTGATCCCCAGCATCAAAGGGAAGGGAGAGCTTGTTTTGTCTCCACTTTTGTCTGTTGCTTTATCTGATTTCTGTTTATTCCCTAGTAACTGGACATCTCTCATTTTTAGGATACCATGTTTTTGTTTTTGTTTTGTTTTGTTTCCTCTTCTTTCATCACAACTGAGTGTCTCCTACCTGGTAACTGGATTTTCTCTCCCACCAGAGAGTAAAGTGAAATCAACAAAGTGTTTTCCTATTTGAAGGATTCTACATCTTCTCCCATAGCTATCCACACCCCCTCTCTGTTCCCTCTGTGTCTTGCTGCTGCAGAGTTAGATTTCTCAGGGAAGTGCTTATTTACTTTTGCTCCACCTTCCCCTGCACCTGGGAGATAGTCTGTGAGAAAGGAGCCCTTCTCTGAGCTGCAGGGGAGTGCATCCCTGAAGCATGGGACTTCCACTTGTTCTCTGATAGGCTACACACCTCTCTTGCATTAATTCATACTAGCTTTTTAGTACCAGATTCTCTTTTTGCCTAATGATTGTTAGTTATGTTCTTAGGTTTAGGGGAGGGCATGTTTTCAAATATGTTTCTATTATATCATGGATATGAAGTTATCTGGGGCTGGAGGGGTTAATGGGTGGTTAAGAAAATGGACTGCTCCTCTAAAGGACCTGAGTTCATATCCTTGTATCCACATGGGACAGCTCACAACCCAATTTCTGGAGATCTGACACCCTCTTCTGGCTTCTGAGGCATCTGCACTCACATGGACATTCTCACACATAGACACAAATGTATATAATTTCAAATTATAAAATAAAATTTTAAAAATTATGATGTTGTTTACCCTGACCCTACAGGAATATCACAGCAACCCAGAAGCAGAGGAAGAAAAATAGTATCAAGTATCCAAGGCAAGATTTGTCTCCCAGCAGACATCAGAGTCACATACTTCCTTCAGCTGGGCCCCACCTCCTTCCTTTCACCACCTCCTGCTAGGCACCCATCAAGAGATTAATCCATTGATTAGGCCAAAGGCTCAGGATCAGTGTCTCTGGCAAAGCCATTAGAGACACACTCAAAGTTACTTCACTAATCAATCCACTAAGCATGTCTCAAGTAGACAACTGAGAATAACTGTCACACCAATTAAAAAGTTGGGTTGTTTTATTGTACAAGATTTATCTTTATTATTTTTAATTTTTCATATGTGTGTTTCTACATGGGTATGTGCACACATGTGCAGGTGCCTGCAGAGTCCGAAGGGCTCATATCCCCCTGGAACTGGTGTCACAGGCAGTTGTGAGTCACCCAGTGTGGGTGCTGAGAACTGAAGAGCTGAAAAGTATGCTAAACCATCTCTCCACCCTTACCTAGCAAGAGGTTTTGTTTTTTCTGTTTGTTTGATTGGTTTTGTTTAGATTCTCATATATCTCAAAAATTGAGAAAAAAATTTATAACCAGCTTTACAAAAAGAGAGGTTAGGGCTTAGACTCAGGAAGAAGCCCAGCTGAAGCTCAATCCTGCTGAGGAGAGCCCTAAACCTGCCCTGCCCTGATTACCTGACATCAACTCCTCAAGCCTGGGTGAGGAAGAGCCCTATCCCACTTTCAGACTCCCAACCTTGATTTACTGTGTGACTTCATGCATGGCAGAAAGATCTTGAAGGCCTTGGAAGTAAAATAAACAAAAAGTAGTCTCAGTTGTTGCTGTAATTATAGATAATAGATAGCATCACAAACTCAAAAAGTTCAGAGTCTTTGAAGCAAGAATGTGCCCCAAATTTCCCCTTGAAAATCACTTTGCTGCCTCAGATTGTCATAATCATGATAACCAATGTTCCCATTTCAGAGTCACAATAACCAATGTCCCCATTTCACAGTCATGATAACCAATGTCCCATTTCACAGTCATGATAGCCACTGTTCCCACTTAACAGTCATGATAACCAATGTCTCTAGTTCACAGTCATAATAATCAATGTCCCTGTTTCATAGTCATGGTAACCACTGTTCCCAGTTTACAGTTATGATAACCAATGATCCCTTTTCTCTCCAGAGACCCATGATAAACTCTTCAGGAAACAGGCAAATATTGAAAAATATTTCTCAATAATTGATTTTTACATTTTCTCCTTTTTTGACAAAATATGTTTGTACATTATTAGCAAAGAATTTGTGAGCCTTCTTGGGTTGCCATCACAAAACAAACAAATCATTCTGTAAGGCATCAGACATTCTTTTACATGGTTAGTGTGTTTTGTAGTATGTGTGTGTGTGGTATGTGTGTAGTGTGTGTATATATGTGTGCATATGTGTTGTGCATGATGTATGCACTTGATGGGTGAAGTGCTTCTGTGTGTGTGTTTGTCTAACTGGATGATAAATAAAACACTGTTTGGCCAATGAGGCAGCATGTTAGACTGGACTAGGAGTCAAAGAGGATTCTGGGAAATGTAGTAGAGAAGTGGTGATCCAGGCCGGAAGTGACATAGCAAGGAGACTCGTATTTAAGCAAGGAGAAACAGGAAGTGTCCCTTTTCCCCTCTGCTTTTCCTCCAGTGGCACAATGTGATCTGCCAGCAAGGAGGGACACCAATGGAAGGTGTCCGATAAGATAAGTCTTATAAAATATATAGATTTATGATAATTAAGACTGAGCTAACAGATGAGAATCCTAGTCATTGGCCAAGCAGCATTTGTACCTAATATGTCTCTGTATTATTTTGTCCATCCACACGGCAGGCAGAACTCGGGTGGCTTTGGTGGAAAGATTTATC